CTGAAGGTGTGGAAACAACTTACACATCCTTGAGTCTTTGTCTCTGGTACCACCTTTGAACAATAGGATGGGAAGAAAATGTGGGAGGATGAGTAGGAGGAGGAGCGGGAGCAAGAACAAGAGAAGAAGGCCCACTAGAAGACTCGATGAGAGGAGACTCAATAGAAGACTTAATGGGGATTAGAAGGACAGATGGTGACATCGCAAACAACTCCTTTGAATGCTCCCCCTCAGGAAAAGTACCAAAGAAAGGAACAGACTCAACAAATGTGACATCTCTGGAAACAAAGCAAGTGCCATGAACTAGATCAAAACAACAATACCCCTTTTATGTGAAGGCATATCTCAAGAAGACACACTTGTGTGCTTTAGGCTCAAACTTATGTCTTTGGTGACTATGAACATGAACATAACAAGTGCACCCAAACACTCGGAGAGGAAGAGAGAAAAGATCCTCGTTTGGAAATAGGAGGCTAAAGGGGTTTTAAAACCCAGAACTCGGGAAGGCATCTGGTTTATCAAGTATGTAGTTGTAAAGACAACATCCCCCCAAAACTTAACAAGAACATGAGAAGCAAAAAGGAGGCTCCTCGTAACCTCAACCACATGTTGGTTCTTCCTTTCCGCCACTCCATTTTGTTGTGGAGTGTAGGAACAATAACTCTGATGAATAACTCCAAAGGTATCAAAGTAGGAGGAAAGGCTCTTCTCAAAATAATCCTTTGCATTATCAGATCAGAATATTTTGATTCGAGCATTAAACTGGGTAAGGATAAGTTCATGAAATTTTTGTACAATATTTGGCACTTTATCCCGGGATTTCACAGGGTAAATCCAGGTGTAACGAGAGAAATCATCAATAAAAAGGATGAAATACTTGTAACCACTAATCCCCCATAGCAGATAAATGATATGGGCCCCCACACATCAAAGTGTACAATATGGAAAGTAGAAACCGATTTTTTATTACTCACTGAAAATGATTGTCTACAATGTTTTGCAAGTTCACATGACTCATAATGAAGACTCGATAGGGATATTCTCTTAAACATTTCTGGAAACAAATGACTTAAAGCTGAAAAAGACAAATGACCAAATCTCAAATGGCATAACATGACTCTATCAACTAACTCTGATGAGATAGACTCCAAAGCTACTCCACTAGGTGGTCCAGGACTTCGATAAGAGATATCCAGCAAATATATTTCATTAGCCTCGTGGCCACTCCCAATCGTCCTTTGAGTTTTCAGGTCCTGAAAAACACAATGAATAGGAAAGAAGGTTACACTACAATTCATTGATTTTGTTAAGCTACTAATAGATAAAAGGTTAGTGCTAAATTTGGGAACATGAAGGATAGAGGACAAAACAAGGGAGTCAGAAGCTATAATATTCCCTTTGCCAGAGATGGGAGCAAGAGACTTATCGGCAAGTGAAATCTTCTCTCTACCAAAGAGGAGCTGGTATGAACAGAAAAGCTTAGATATGCTGGGCATATGGTCTAATGCACCAGAATCTATAATCCAAGGAATTCTATGATTACTTGAGTCTGTAGCATGATTTGCACAAGCACGAATACTTGAATGGGCAAATACATATGAAGAGGTGTTGCTTGAGGAGGAAGCTACAACAGTAGTCTCCAAGTGATTAATTAACCTCCCATATCTCTCAAATTCTGCCTTCATTGCTGTCATCTGCTCCACAACAGATTTTTCAAACTGACCACCTTCAGATGTTGTAGCAACATTTGCATTCTCCGGCTTTCCAGACTGACCACCTTTCTTAAAGTTGTTGTTTCGAAACCTATCTAGATGAAGATCTGGATGAAGTTTCCAACAAGTATCCTTAATATGTTTCGATTTCTTGTAGTATTGACATATCACCTCTTTCTTCTCAGCTGACCCCTTTGGTTTTATTCTAGCATGTGCAAAATGTTCTGAAGGTGGTTGACCCTGTAACTACACCTGTCGCCTGTTCTCTTCACTGCTCACCATAGAATATGCCTGAGCAAGTGTTACTTCATCCTTGGCTAGAATAGTTTGTCTCATAATATCAAATCAGGGTTAAGTCTTGTAAGAAACTCAAACACCCTGTTTCTTTCCACAAATTTCCTGAATGTCTCTGCATCCTTGGTGCTTTCCCATACAACTGCTTCCATAACATCAATCTCCTATCATAATGACTTCAACATTGAGTGGTAGAAAACTACACTCCTCTCCCCTTGTTTCAGATTTTTCACATTATTCTTCAGTTTGTAGGCCCTTGCAACATTCAATTTCTGAGAATATGTTTCTTTAACACTATCCCAAATCATCTTCGCTGAAGTCATCCAAAGATTATGTTAACTAATGTGGGGCTGCATAGAATTTACCAACCATCCAATAACTGTGTAGTTATCCTGCATCCATTTCTCATATGTAGGATCAGTCTCTTCTAGTTTCTCCTTACTGCCCGTGGGAAACCCTAGTTTATCTCTACCATAGGCATGAATTTTTATAGATTGTGCCCAAGCTAAATAATTTGTTCCATCAAGTTTGATTGTAGTCACTCCTATCAAAATGGAATCTATGGGACTAACCCCCAGCACCGGGATCTGCTTCACCTTACTTCTAGATTGCTCCATTAATTAAACAAAAATCAAAAAACAAGATTTTCAAGCTTTATAGACTAACTAAGATCAGTCCAACACTTAAAAATCCCAAAACTAGGGGTTTTAATTGTACCTGGCCTCCAAAGAGAAAGAGAGAAGTAGTCGTTCCAACCAGAGCTTCCCAAACCTCTTCCAACTCCAACCACCCACTTTTGGAGATCAAAGGAACCCTCCAAGCCTTGAGCGCCACACCCAAACAATCTCTTTAACCTGTAACCGGAAACTCTCTAGTTGGCTAGGGTTTTGGGCAAAAAATCAGCAGCCCCACTTTCTTGGCAATCTATAACCAGATTCTAACTCTCCAAACCCTCTACCAACTAGGCATACAAGTTCTTTGAATAATCAGCAATTTATCTCTCCATACACTTTTTGATTAGAAGAGTGTATGGGAAAAGAAAAGAAAAGATAAAAGAGAAGGAAGACCTGCTCTAATACCAAGATGTGATTCAGACCAATAAAGAAAATAGTAAAATATTTCAGTTTATAGCAGAAGAGGAAGAGAAGAAGAAGAAGACAGCAAAAGGAAAAAGGAAGAATGGCGAAGAAGGGAGAAAGAAGGAGTTCGGTGATCTCTCCCCTAAGAGGGCGTCCACCTCATCAGCATACTTAGAAAACATAAAAAGAAATAAAGGCCCATTAAGAATAAAATAACAAGAAAGAACTAACCAATAAGATAATAATGGGCTAGGGCCCATTTGGCCCAGTCTCCCTACAAAAATAAAGAAAAAATGAGATCCCGCCTTCCTCTTCTTCCTCCTCCTTCTTACTCTTAACCCCCCTCCTTGTGTTCGGGAGGCTTATGCCTCTTATGTTCTGAACTACACTTCACGCCTCTAGGTATTGGAATGCCTCGCATCACACCTCTGTGTTTTAAAACATTGCCAAGATCCTCTCCTATATCCCTTAGATTAGAATCCACCTCCTTAAATAACTCTCTAATCAACTTACTCCCATCCTAAAACCTATTAAAATAGTGGCACCTTGTCCTTTTTTGTTTTCCGTACGAGACTTCTCATAATTCTATAAGGAACTCATCGTAGAACTCCAATTGCCACCTTTTTTGTTTTTTAACTTGTAACATATGTTATTGTCATTTATTTGCTTTCCCTTTTCAATGAGTCCCTTGAGAGGAAAATGCATGGTAAAATTGTTGATCTATGCTACCAGGATACTTGTACAAGGGTGCTATATAATGTTGAATACTTCAGTTTCTAGTGTAAATTCCATATCCAATACTGTCAGTTCAGCTGTATCCTCGCGAAATCCAGGTAATATAGTTATTTATAGCAGTGAGAAGGAAGCTTTGCAGTGTAAATTCCATATCCAATACTGTCAGTTCAGCTGTATCCTCCAAATCCAGGTAATATAGTTATTTATAGCAGTGAGAAGGAAGCTTTGCAGTGTTAATGAATCCATACTCCCAATCAAGACAAGAAAATAAAAGGATTGACTGCTCTGCCTCTATACTTCCTCTTTCCTCATATGCAAGAATTAAGCAGCATTGGATAAATATAACCTCTGCCACTATCTTTCTTTTTATATGCAGAGCTCCTGGGCCCCCTGTGTCCCATTTCCCTTTTTATATTTGTTGTTTTTTTCGTTGTTATTTATTTTGGAATTGTATTTAAATGCTCCCCCTTCAGCATAAAGTGGCTGCTTCTTCTTTCAAACAGATGAGGTAGTGATTGGCTGATCATTAGTCATTTTGACTCAGTAGCACCGAAGGAACTAGAGAATTTCAAAAATTATTTACAAGGGCTTGTATCCAGTCAAATATATTGTTATATAGCATTGATTTGATCTGCTAAACTATTTTAAATATGCATGTACAATTCCATGGAGGAATACTAAAATGGCCTTTATAAGGAAAATCTATGCTACAGAAGTGGTCATTCAGAGTATTTTTCTTTTTCTTTTATGAAAAGGTAAGATAGTTTCTGTATTTAAGTATAGGTCAAAAAATACAGGTATAGTCCATTGGCCATCACATTGAGAAACTATACATGGGGAGAAGTCCCCTAGAAACAAAACAAACAAAATAGTTTGCTTTTTGGGGCCTTCTGATTGCTTTTCTTCATATCTTGTTTGTCTAATCCTAGTTATTTTAAGTTTACTGTTTACAGATTAAAAGGATGTAGAATATTTTCCAATACTGCTTTTCATGCATCCTTTGCATATGACTGACGAAGCTTTTTTCCAAACACCTATGCAATAAAGATTTGTATATCTGGGATAACTAAAATAATTCCAGCACTGGTGTTTTTCTATACCATTTCAGGCTTCAATTTATTTATGAATTTATCCTTTGCATTTTCATAACTTTCTGACACAGCTTTTAGCTTTCATGCAGGAAATGGGATTGTTAGAGATGAAACATGGTTTGCTCCAGGTTGCAGAGTCCTTGGATTTTCTCCATAACAATGCCCACCTAATTCATCGAGCTATATCACCTGAGGTTGCAGCTTCCTGATCTTATCATCTCTCCCTTCATCTCTCTATATTTGTATGGATACATTATGTGTATATGTGTGTGTGTGGGTAAGTGGGTATGCATGTATGTAAAAAAAAAAAAAAACGAAATGCAAGAATAAAACTAATCAAAATATTTGCAATATCTTACATGTGTCTTCTAGTTTTCATTAAATATAGATATCCCATGTCATCATATCAACATTCATAAAAAAAAAGAAAAAATATCATCATATCAACATTGACATTTCCTAGTTAATAGTGCTGTTGAAATAATTGATTTTATGTTTGTTAGGGTCTGTTTGGCTGATTAAAGCCTTTTTTATTTTAATCTATTATTGTACCATCACTTAGTAGGGGCACAAGGGTCATTTCCCTTCTTATTTTTTCGCCCTATATATTATAATGAAGCTGGTGCCGCCAACACTGTTCCATTGCCTCAATCCTTTCTTCTTTCTCCCTTCTCTTCTCTTCTCTCCTCTTCTCTTCTCTTCTCTTCCTTTCTCTTCTCTTCTCTTTTGCTGACTGTCAAGATGGTATCAGAGTGTGGCCATTGAATCTGGGCGATCAAGTGTCTTCTCCAAGCTGCTGAATTTGGGTGGAACAGAGGAGTACATCTGGGTTGATCGAATCAGACCTGCAACTGGTACCGCCCCATTTTTTTTCCTTTCTCTTCCCTTGGTCGTGCACCAAGAGGAAAACGAATGGACCTGAACCACTGAATGTCGGCACACCCTTGTGAGGATTTTCCTCTGTTTGTTTTGGATCGTGTGATCCTGTACCTATGAAAGGTTGCTGTAGCTCATGTATGACCTGTTTTCTCTACTTGTTGGCTTGATGCCTTGTGTGTAAGGATCTCCCCTTGTGATTATTGCTTGTAGACCTTCTGAGAAAACTAGAAGGCTGGGACTGCTATTCTGTACAGGTCTGAAAATCAGATCTATCATCTTGTTTTTTTTTTGGAAATTGATGCTGGTCTTGTGCTCAGATTAAGTCCAAAAACTGTAGTGTAGGTGGACTAATCACTTGTGTGGAGCTTTTTGTTCTGATATGAGGAGGGATCCTAAGGTGAAGTTTTTTGATAAAAAAATTCTGTGTTGACCATGTCTTCTGAGAATTCTGCTACTTCAGAGATTTCTGTAAATCAAAATGGGGTAAGTGGGGGAATGGATATGAGTTTCCCCATGGCTGTTATTCCCTTTGATGGTCTGAATTACCTTAAATGGTCTAGGGGAATAAAACTCTACATCACTACTAAGGGAAAAATAGGATACATCAATGGGAAAGTGAAGGAACCAAAGAGCGGAAGTGCTAAATATGATAGATGGAACCAAGAAAATAGTATGGTGATGTCATGGCTCTTGGTTTCCATGCTTCCACAGGTGAGAAAAACTTTTATGTGGGCTGAAACTGCTTGTGAAATATGGGAACAAGCAAAGTCCACCTATTTAGAGCAGAGACATTATGCCAAGATATACCAACTACAAGCTGAATCGTCCACTTGCAAGCAGAGGGAAAGGAGTCTCTCGGTGTACTATTCAGATCTGACATCGATATGGAAAGAACTTGATCACTATCAGAATGTTGACTGGAAGTGTGATGAGGATGCAAAGGCATTCAAATCACTTGTATCTCAGCAGTGGGTATTTGCCTTCCTCTTGGGGCTGAATCCTTCATATGAGTCCATCAGGGTGCAGATCTTGGGAAGTAAAGACTTGCCATTAGTTCAGGAGATTTATGCCTTGGTTCAGTCAGAAGAAAGTAGAAGAAATGTGATGAATTCTACAGAGGGGGAGCCAGTTGCTCTAGCTGTCTGGGGAAGTTTAGATACTAATTTCGGAGGTGGTTCTAAGAAGGGTGACTCTCAGAAGAGAACAGATGATAAGAGTAAGCTTTGGTGCACTCACTACCAGAAGGCAAGACACACCAGAGATACCTGCTAGGATCTCCATGGAAAACTTAAATGGGCACAGGATTTGGGTAAGAAGTCAACAACTGATCAGGGCAAGAAACCAAGTCAGCAGAATTGGAAAAGGTATAACTCAGCTAATATGGCATCTTAAGAGATTGGTCCCATGGTAACTCAGGAAAGGCATCCCAATTCTGACCCTAAGGAAGAGATCATCAACTCCTTCCATGACCATTTGGAGTTATATGGTAGGACTCTTTTCCAGATGGATACTGGTCTTACTCCTTCTACCTCTTTTGCATCTGCTTCAGGTAACATTGCCACTGCCTTCCATGTGTCATCTCATACCTCTGATTCCCCTTGGGTAATTGATTCAGAGCCTCAAACCACATGACCGGTAAGTCAAATTTATTTTAGGCATACAATCTTCTCTCTGGGAGAGATAAGGTGAGACTAGCTGATGGTTCTTTCTCCACCATATCTGGCGAAGGAACCATATATCTCCCACTCGGCCTTACCCTTTCTAACGTACTACATGTTCCTAAATTACCTATAAATCTGCTTTCCATTAGTAGTATTACTCACTCCTTAAACTGTTCAGTTACTTTCTATCCGTCTTCATGTGTGTTTCAAGATTTGGCCTCGGGAAGACGATTGGTAGAGAAAGCATGGTGGATGGCCTCTACGTGTTGGAGAATAAAGCTGGTCTTGTGGCTACAGAGTCCTTGAGTTTGTCTAGTGAGAGTCAAGCCTATTTATGGCACAATCGTTTTGGTCATCTTTCTTTTGAGTCATTAAAAGTTATGTTTCCAAAGTTGTTTGAGTCTTTGTCAGTGAGTCAGTTGCAGTGTCAGACATGTCAATTGAGTAAACATTGTAGAAGCACTTTTCCTTTGAGAAATAAAAGATCTGAATTTCCATTTCATATTGTTTATTCTGATGTTTGGGGCCTTGTTACTCTACCTATTGAGGCTGGATATAAGTACTTCATTACCTTGACTGATGATTACTCTAGATACACCTGGGTTTACCCTATGTGATCTAGAGAGGAAGTGCCTAAAATTGTGAAAGACTTTCAACGCATGGTATTCACTCAGTTCCAAATTGATATCCATATTTTCCAGTCGGACAATGCAAAGGAATATTTCCATAGTGATCTCACGGAATTCTTTGCTTCAAGTGGATCACTTCAACGAAGCTCTTGTGCTAGGACACCTCAATAAAACGGTGTTGTTGAAAGAAAAAAACTATCATCTTCTTGAAGTAGCTCGTGGCTTGTTAATCCATATGAATGTTCCAAAACGTTTTTGGATGGATGTTGTTCTGTTGCTACGTACATCATCAACTGTATGCCCTCTCGGTTACTAGAGTATAAGGCCCCACATCAACTTTTGTTTCCTATAGCACCGTTGTTCCCCATTCCAATACGTGCTTTTGGGTGTCGTTGCTTTGTTGATAACTTGTCACATACTCGGGGTAAACTTGTTCCTTGTGCTATTCCTGTGTCTTCCTTGGTTACCCTCTATCTCAAAAGGGGTACCATTGCTATTATCCCGTCTCTCATAAGTACTATGTCTCTATAGACGCGTCCTTCTTTGAGAATCGACCTTTCTTCTCGGTTTCTCCTTAGGGCGAGTGTAGGGTTGAGGAGAAATAGGCTCAGACTCAACTACCTCCTCTACCTGACCCTCTTCCATTCCATGTCTTTCTTTGCCACCACAAAAGCCAGTAGAGTTCAAGAGCCGTGGAACCTGATACTATGCAACCACAATATCATCGGCTTCACCAGAGGTTGATCCTTCCCATTGGCCAGGTACACTTGCTTCTATTGATATGCCTGCTCCTTTCAATGTTGATTCCCTTGTCATTAATGATCTTGATGTTCCTATTGCTAAGAAAAAGGGTGTTAGATCTTGTACCACTAACCATCCTATCTGTCACTTTGTGTCCTATGATCATATTTCATCTTCATATCGTGCATTCCTCTCCTCTATTGACAGTATCCCTGTTCCTAAGAATGTGGCAGAAGCTTTATCCAAACCTTAATGGACAGATGCAATGAAGGAAGAGATTGATGCATTACATAAAAATGGCACTTGGGAGTTGGTGGATCTTCTTGAAGGGAAGGAACCAGTGGGGTGCAACTGGGTGTTCACAGTGAAACACAAGGCTGTTGGAATTGTTGAAAGGTACAAAGCTAGACTGGTGGCAAATGGTTTTACACGAGTATATGGAGTGGACTATACAAAGACTTTTTGCCCAGTAGCCAAGATGAACTCTATCAGAATTCTCCTTTCACTAGTGGCAAATCTTGACTGGGAACTTCACCAATTGGACATAAAAAATGCTTTCTTGATTGGTGACTTAGAAGATGAAGTGTACATGACCCAACTTCCAGGTTTTTGTGCTAAAGGCAGTGAATAGAAAGTGTGCAAGTTAAAAAAATCTTTATATGGGCTGAAACAATCTCCTCGGGCCTGGTTTAGTATGTTCCACTTAGCAGTTCAACAGATGGGGTTCAAACAATGCCAGTCAGATCACACACTATTTGTGAAGAAAGGTGAAGGGAAAATTGCAGCTCCAATTGTGTATGTGGATGACATAGTGATCACAAGAGATTGGGAGGCTGAAATATAGAGACTAAAAAAGTTCTTAGCCACTTAATTTGAGGTGAAAGATGTAGGCCCCTTACGTTATTTCCTGGGAATTGAAGTTGCCCGCTCTCACAAGGGCATCTTTATTTCCCAACGGAAATATGTACTAGATCTACTAGAAGATACAGGCAAACTGGGGGTGAGACCAATTGACTCACCAATTGAACCTAACCATCATCTGGGAGACAGTCAGGGAGAGTTCTTGAAAGATGTGAAGAAGTTTCAGAGACTTGTAGGGAGACTCTTGTATTTGTCTATGACCAGGCCTGATATTGCTTATGCAGTGGGTGTCCTTAGTCAGTTCATGCACAATCCTAGGACAACTCACCTTGAAGCTATAGAGAGGATCCTCAGATACCTCAAGAAGTTTCCTAGAGCTGGTTTGCTGTTCCAGAAACATGGACATTTAAAGGTGAAGGTATATACTGATGCTGATTGGGCAGGGGCAGTTGATGACCAAAAGTCTACTTGTGGATATTGTGCCTTTGTAGGGGTAAACCTAGTCACATGAAGAAGTAAGAAGCAAAGTGTGGTGGCTAGGTCTAGTGCTGAAGCAGAATACAGAGCTATGTCTCATGGAGTTGCTGAAATCATGTGGATAAGAAATCTGTTAGGAGAACTGGGTTTTACAGTCAGCAACTCTATGTCACTCTATTGCAACAACAAGGCTGCTATCAACATTGCAGCTAATCCAGTCCTCCATGACAGGACGAAACACATTGAAGTGGACAAGCATTTTATTAGAAAGAAACTTGTAAATGGAGAAGTGTGCACCCCCTATGTCAGCTCAGAAGAACTTGCAGACATCTTCACCAAAGGTATTCATCATGTGCGGCATAATGATTTGTGTGACAAGTTGGGCATGATTGGCATCTATGCTCCAACTTGAGGGGGAGTGTTGAAATAATTGATTTTATGTTTGTTAGGGTCTCTTTGGCTGATTAAAGCCTTTTTTATTTTAATCTATTATTGTACCATCACTTAGTAGGGGCACAAGGGTCATTTCCTTCTTATTTTTTTGCCCTATATATTATAATGAAGCTGGCGCCGCTAGCACTGTTCCATTGCCTCTCTCTTCTTTCTTCCTTCTCTTTTCTTCTCTCCTCTTCTCTTCTCTTCTCTTTTTCTGTAAATCTTCAATCAGATTTACTGTCAAGAAGTGCTAAATCCTATTTGCCATTTAAGTCTATCTGGAAGGACAACTTCTGTTAAATTTACATGCATAAACACATTTCCTTTCATACAAGGAACCATCTTGGTTTTCTTTTTCTCTCAATTAAAATTCTGTTGATATATCTACAGAGGTGTGATTGCTATCCTGGGAATAGATTCTTTTTTCTTAGTCCCACTGGTAGGTGTTCCTCTGGGTGTCATCAAAGCATGGCTGATGCTAGTAGATTAGTTTTTTTTTTTTCAGTTTTTCCTGTCCCTTTTCTTCTCTGATAGTACATATTTTCTCGTGGGTGTAGATTATCTTGCAGCTAATTTAAATTGTATTACTGTAATTTGTCTTTTGGAAAGATTTTACTTTTGATTGTGCCGTTAGCTTGTATTCTCTTCTTTCATGATGGCAATCTGCTCCCCCAAAATGAAAATGACTTGGTATTGTATTTCCTCCTAGTCTGCTGTGTGATGGAGACTTTTTTATTTTTCCAATACCTTTAATTGCATTTCCAGCAGTTGGTGTCTAAGCTACTCAAGAGTCAAGACCCAGCGTTTTTCGGTTCTGAGTCTGAGGCTTATATTACAAATGCATAAAATTAATCAGATCTTGGTATTGCAGACCATTTTTATTACTTCTAGTGGAGCTTGGAAACTTGGTGGATTTGGTTTTGCAATTTCTGCAGATCAGACTTCAGGTGACCAGACCAATATGCAGCCATTTCATTATGCTGTAAGTGGATTCTTTATTCTGCATTGACAAAGGCCACTTCCCAGTTTGTTTGTATATTGAGTTTCTCTTCAATCATTTGATTCAAGATTGATTATTAATTGCATGAAGAGAGATCAGAGCATCTGTCCTTTTTTTTTTGCAAAGATGAATTAATTTCCACTTTTCTTAATCCTCTACTGATTTTGTTCATTTCCTTATTATTTTTCTCATGGTAGTAATTGGGGGCAATTTGTGCAGTTAAGTGCTGCAAATTTGAGTATGTCTTCCATTTTTATGCTGTTGCATCTGTGGAAAGCACCTCCCTTGGATACCTTCATTTTAATTGCTTATTTGCATGGAATTCATTTAGCATTTCTTTCATACATATGTTGTTGAAGAAACACTAAAATCCTGTCTGGTAATGGACTCATGAGTGGTCTATAACAGTGTGGGTTTCCTCCCTTTATGTTAGAAAGTTCATTGTGGCTTTTTAATGTTCTTATTTCTTGTTTCCAATTTTGAACATATCAAGCAGTTGAGGTAGTTATGAAAATTGTATATAGATCAGAAAATTGCTTCTAAGGAACATGGCAGTACAGAAATTCATTGAGAGAAATCAAACTAGTTCAGCAAACTGCTTGCCCAATTCACTCGCTTAGCAAGGGACAGAGGGAACAATTGTTTTTCTTTCTTTTTTTGGGTGGGGTGGGGTAAAACAATGAAAATTGTAGGTAGAGTTAGGCTGCATATATATATATATATATATGTGTGTGTGTGTGTGTGTGTGTGTGTGTGTGTGTGTATTTGTTGTGAGATGATAACAAGTTAACAACCTTCAAGATGTGATTAGGGCTGTTCACGGGTCGGGTTGGGTTGGTTTACTAGTCTTTTTTCAACCGACGACTTGGTCGGGTTACGTAAAGATTAAACCAAAACCGACCCTCTATTAAGCAAAACCGACCTGGTCGGTTTAGGTCTGTTTGGGTCGGTTTTGGTTTAAATATATACATTTCCGAAATATATATTTCAGCTTTAAATATATATATATATATATATAAATATTTTGGAAATATACATATTACATATAATATTTCAGAATATATTTAAAACTGAAATATACATTTCAGAAATATATATATTTAAAACCAAAATATATATATATATATTTAAAACTGAAATATACATACTATATATAATATTTCAGTGAGAATATATTTATTGGATATACATTTAAAACTGAAATATATTTCGGAATATACATATTATATATAATATATGAGTGAGAATATATTTATAGATAACTCGGTTCGGTTTGGTTCGGTTTCGATGTGAAAACTGAAACCGAACCGATTATCGGTTTACCCATCTTTCCAACCCAAAACCGACCGGTGGTGAAGAAAAACCATCCAAATCGGATTGGCCGATTTGAATTTATTTGTGAACAGCCCTAGATGTGATGGGGTATTACTAAATTTAACTTGGTGATGGATTTTCCATGGGCAACTATGCCCCTCCCAAGCAGGTGCTGCCTTTAGAGACCATACGAATAATGAAGTTTCTTGGGTTTGGTTGGGGAAGACAACTCTTTAAGGGCTAAGCTTCTTTCTCTTTGAGGTCATTACAACTATCATGAGGAATTTTAACTCCACATGCTTTTATTCTCAGAAAGCCTCCACTCCTACAATCCAAGTTTACATGGTCAAACTTCTAAGCAAATCATTAAGCTCAATAGGTTCCTATTCTTTGTGAACTGGGCAGACATTGGTTAGGTTTATTCTGTCACTCTTTGTTGAAAAGGTACCTGAAATCATTGTTCCTTACTTCCCTTGAGAAGGATCCTCTCCCTTTAAATTTGAGAATATGTAGATAGGATACCCTTGTTTCCTAGAGACTGCTAAATCTTCATGGGAGGAGGTGGACAATAAAAAGGCGGAATTCATGTTTTAGAAGAGGCTTAATGCACTAAAGTCAAAGTCAAATGTTTGGAATAAAGAGGTTTTGGTTTCATTAGGGAGAAGAAGAATCTGATAATAACCTAGATAAAGGACTTGGACAAGCTTGAGTTTTGTGAGATTAGGAGATGCTAGAAAACAATAATGAAACTTGAGAGAATTGTATGAGATTCTATTGAGGGAAGAGATATCTTGGAGGTAGACATCTAGGTGTAGATGGATTAGAGGTGGAAGTTGAAATTTTTTTACTCTTTCGAAAATGGCAGAAAAAAAAAGAAAAAAAATTATTGTGACATTGGAAGAGATCTCCAATCAAGAGGATATCCCAAAGATTCTCATTGCAATGTCACATGTGTCAACACTCTTGGCCGAATAGAGAAAAGAACAAGAATAATCTTAGAGGTGTCAAGAATGTATTGACCCCTACCTCAAAGAGTCTTTTTATATATTAAAAGATATATACAATTACAAGAATGCCCATATAGGGTTGAAAGAGAAAAGAAGAATAAGATGTATAAGTAATATACAACAGGGACTATACTAATAAGATACATGAAGTTACAGAGTCTCCACACTCCCCCTCAAACTGATGCCTAGACATAAGCATCAATTTGTCTATAAGAAAGAGATGTCGAACTCTAGTCATAGCTTTGGTGAAGATATCAGCAATCTGCATGTCTGAGGCTACAAGAGGAAGCAAAATAGATCAAGTAGTGAAAAGATCTCGGATAAAGTGGCAGTCCACCTCGATGTGCTTGGTCCTCTCATGGAAAACAGGGTTAGATGCAATCTTGATAGCACTCATATTGTCTGCATAGAGAGGAATAGGAGTAGGAAGCTAAATGCCAAAATCCATAAAGAGAGATCGTAACCAAACAATCTCACTGCAAACTGAAGTCATGGCCCTATACTCTAGTTCAATAGAAGACTTGGAGACTGTTTGTTGTTTCTTACACTTCCAAGAGATGAGTGAATCACCCATAAAAACACACCACCCAAAAGTGGACCTACAAGTGTCTGGACAACCAGCCCAATCCACATCAGCATATGCTCTCAACTGAATAAGAGAGGAGAAGGAAAAGAACAATCTCTGAGAAGTTGTGCTTCTAACATATCGAATGAGAGAAGATGAGAAGATGAGAATGTTACCTTCAGCAACTAATTGGCCAACAGAAATCAAATTTGTTGTGAGATTAGGAACAAGAAGGGTTTTGGTAAGAAGGAAGGAAGTAGTGGGTGAAAGCTTAAGAGACAAATCACTACTACCAATGATGTTTAACTTTTCACCAATGGCAGTAACAATATGTTTGTGATGGGTTTCAGTAAGGTTACTTAGTTGGTTAGGGTAGGCTCCTGTCATGTGGTTGTAGCTCCAAAGTCAATGATCCAAATATGAGAAGGAGAAGCACAATAACTGGAAAACTCACCAGTTAAGCCAATAGCAAAAAGAGCAGAAGTAGTAGATGTTACCAATTGTCGAATGTTTTCCTCAATCATAGATGCCAAAGAATCACCTTTAACAAAAGAATCACCACCAATAGTAGATTTCTTACTCCCATGTGCTACAGCAGCAGTGTCAATTCCATAGGTAGATCCTTCCAGTTTTATAGGAATAATATTGTCTCTATTGGAGGCCATTTCAGCAAGAAAACAGCAGTCCAGGCACAAGGATATCAGAGACAACCAAATTCAGCAATCAAGAACTCAATCAAATAAATGGGAAGCAAGAAAACCTTAGGACGACACCAGATCTAGGGTTATAGGTTGATCGAATCAGCCGATTGAGAGAAAACTGTCCTTAAAAATCTCCAAACCAGAACCTGAGTGTAGGGTTAAGAAGAGCTTGAGAGAACCCTTCAATCTGGAGAGAAAAACTCAAATTGCAGGCTGATGTAGAAGGCCTGAAGTCCAGAAAAAAGCTGCAGTCCAAAAAAGGAAACTGTGCAGTGTTGCTTCCCCAAGAAGAAGATCAAAACTCCTTTGAAAACTTCACCAAACCAGATGCTGTTTGTAGGTATAATAGATCAGGTCTAGGCGGCACCAGATCTGAAGTCCAAAGCTGTTGCAGTCCAAAAAAGGAAACTGTACAGTATTGCCGCCCCAAGAAGAAGATCAGAACTCCTTCAAAAACTTCACCAAATCAGATGCTGTTTGTAGGGAGAATAGATCTGGTCTAGGCGACACCAAATCTGAAGTTTGGCCTCGAACCAATGTCTCCCAAGAGATATCTAATGAAATCTCTTCTGCTGGTTGTGCAAAGAAGACTGAACAGAAAAGGGTTGATCAAAACAGCCATAATACGACAGGATTACTGCTTCTAGTGAGGTTAAAGAGAGAGAGAAAATAGATCAAAGAGCAACCTGCTCTGGTACCATGTCAACACTCTTGGCCGAATAGAGAAAAGAACAAGAATAATCTTAGAGGTGTCAAGAATGTATTGACCCCCACCTCAAAGAGTCTTTTATATATTAAAATATATATAATTACAAGAATGCCCATATAGGGCTGAAAGAGAAAAGAAGAATAAGATGTATAAGTAATATAAAACAGTGACTATACTAATAAGATACATCAAGTTACAAAGTCTCCACAACATGTTACCTCCTAATCTCCTATCATTATGTTACTAATATTTGGGAATTTGTCTTCTCTATGTTTGGTTGCAGGTTGACTCAACCAATTGACATTAAGAGTTTGTTTAAGAAATCATTCTTCTCAATAACAAGGAGGAGATGAAAAATTATGTGGAGATGCACTAGGGTAGCAATATTATGGTGTTTACTGGAAGAAAAGAACTCTAGAATCTTTAAAGAGATGGTCCACACAATAGAATTAATCATTGAAAAAATATATACTAAAGTGGCTTCTAGGTTCAATGCAAACAAAGTATAAACCCAAGCCCTTTAAACACATTAAGAGGTTGGGACCACATCTAAAAGGGGTTAAATGCAAATAAAGTATAAACCCAATCTCTCTTAAACAGATTATGAGGTTGGGACCACGCCTAAAAGGGGTTAAATAAAAAGAAAGTATAATCCAAGCCCTCTTAAACATATAAAAAGAAAATAT